ATTTTTGTTCTCAGGCTAGCTTGTTGTTTGCCCTTGTCAACACCGAAATGAGACACTGCACACTCACCCCATTCAGTTGACAGTTTCAGTCCTTGTCCAGTGTGTATTCCCAAAGATTTGACATCTCTGCATATCCGACATCCTAGCTTCTTATCTTTAAGAACGAGCCATGCATTGGTCTTGCAAAAATATTGCACCTGGTCCGTTGTCCAGCAGTCAGGTGCATCGCTTTGCCCGGTGTTGGTGGTGGCAGTTGAGCCAGCAGCAGCTAACGTTAGAGGCTCTGGAGGAGGCGGCGGAGCTAGTGCTAATGCTAATGCACTAGAACTTGGAGCAGGAGGATCAACCAAAGAAAGCTCCCCATCAGACACAATTTCCAACACAGGCACAGCATTCTCTGTATTTGAAGTTTCTTCCGGCGACAACCGCTGTCTTTTTGCACTTTTATTAATCAACGCTAACATTTTAGAAATGCTAATTTGTGACGTGACTTGCTTTCCTTCTCTCGGGGGCGTGCCTGCTCTGTTCTATCACGCTACATAGCCACCCACTGGGTGGGAGTTGCACTGCATAAACACAACACACGTGCATCTAGGTATGTAAATTGTAAAGCATTAAAACATGGTTTTACTAACAGTTTTCAGTATGTTGTTACTTCGGCATTATTATTATTATTATTATTATTTTGAAACGTGTATTACTATTAAATCACGGTCAAATAGGTTAATTTTGACATAGTCGTTTCCACCACAGTATTTACATGGAGAAGATAAGCCCCGCCCCCTCTCCAGCACGTTCTGTTTGAATGACAGGAGTAAACAGCTGACAGCCGCTGTGAAACTCCAGCGGTTAGAGCGATGAGAATGTCCGTTCGGCACCTCATGACGCATCTACTGAGTACCGGGCGGCTGTATATATATATATGGATGTATAATAAGAACGGCGGGAGAGTGTTGAGTACTGGCACGGTGCATGAGTACCGGAGTACCGCCAGCATGCCGGTACTGAGCAAGAAGTGCCGGTACTCCATGGGTCAGAACCAGAAGTGCCGGTACTGCGTACCGGTGAGTACCGGCCCAATTCCAGCACTGGCCATATGACCCCAAATCAGCTGTGGGAGCTGGGACGAATCCATTACCCAATTACAGTTCCTGATAACATGGAGGTAACTTTGTCAAATGTGTACAACTTCAGTGCTTTCAATAGTATTGATCCCTCAGCCACTCAAAAACTGAAACCGCTATCCATGCTCTTGCAAACACCTACCAACTCCATTGAAACTTCCCCTGTATTTTCAGCCCAGAGCACCCTTTTAAGAGAGCATAGGTGGCTATATAGCCTCAGTTCCCCGTCAGAAAGGCTATCTGACAGCAAGGTAAAGCCGTAACAGTTATACTGTATGGCACAAGTTGGGATGGGTCAAATGTATAAGAAAGGTTTCCTGCTGATAACATGTAATTTCTCTTACCATTACATGTGGGAACAATTCATATTTAGCTGAGTGACTGAATAAGACCATTTGAACATTTGCTAAACAACATGGGCAGTGGTTTAGGGCTTATATTCCTAGAAAATTACGCCATAAGTGCCCACCTTACTGCTGCTGTCTATAAAGATAATTAATACCGCAAATAAATGAGGCGTTCTATTTCTGTTGTTTTTAGGGTGTGGATATTCCTCAGATTGAGTGGGAGAACAGTGGATTTGCTCCTGATGGCCACTCTAGTGTCATTGTCCCAGACATAGAGAGCCCACTGACTGATGGACAAATGGCTGCTTTAAGAGAAGCTGTTGACCCACGAGCTGCATCCCAGTCCTTTGGCTGTGATATCTACATTGCTGCTGTTCCATTTTGTGAGCATGTTCTATCTGATGACTGAGAAAGAGGGCTTAGGTCTTTTTCTCAAATGTATCCAAATGTGGCACAAACATCCACTTCGCCTTTGTTTTTTTATGGCGAACAAGTGTTCTGCTTTTGGGATCTTCACATTTTATAGGAAAAATAATAATAAATTAATATTTGAAGAATGACAAATGTTGTTTTGTTTTTTGTTATGCGAACAATAGTGATGTCAGATTTGATCAGACACACAAAATATTAAAGCAACAGTTGCTCAATTCATAAAATGGGACCGATAATCTAAAAAAAGTCACGTTTCATCTCGATTCATATTTGATCACCGCTGCCTATTATATTAGTTTCTTGGAGTTAATGAGCACGATTGACAGAAGCTTCTCACTACCCTCAGCTCTGATTGGTCGAAAATGATTTAGTTTAAACCAATAAGGTGTAGGCTATGCCATGTGGGATATGCTACTCTTTACTGGACCACCACAGTTTACCCTCCCTAACATTCTTGCCCCACAGCTAACCCTGATCAGGAGTCAGGACCTACCTTCTGTAACTGCTGCACTACTTGCGGATGGTCCAGGCATTGCTGCTTGTTCTTCAATGACAGTACTCCTATCCATCACCTCATTTCCTGCACTGCCAACATTCACAACATACTTTTTCTACACTTATATTCTATTTGTTAGACTGATTTAATGTTTTACATCTGTTGGTTATTGAAAAAAGTATATACAATATATACCTTTCCCCATATGAAGCAGCATGTGCCTCAATGGAGTCAGCTAGAAACATTTCCATGCACAGAGGACAGGGCTGCTGCACTGGGCCTAGTTAGCAAAGATGAACACAAATCTGAGGTCAGCACGAACCACTGAATTAAGTCATGACTGTATTTTCCAACAAGCCATTTGTCCTTACCATGAATTGTGATTTTAGGGCATCTGTGTGTAATGATAATGGAAATGAATTAATTTGTAGATGTTATCTTACCCTGCTCACAAACATACCACTTCCACACAGAATGGGAAGAAGAATATTTGTTTGTTATGTCACATTCAAAGTGGATTTGCCTTATTTGTAAAAGCAAGCGTCACTCTGCCAAAGAAAGGTAACGTGGAGAGGCATTATTGGAGTGTTCACAAGGGATATGATAGCGACTTCCCCCCGAGTAGCGAGTTGAGAAAGGTGAGGGAACTTAAATCACAATTAGCTGGACAGCAGTCACTTTTCTTAAAGCAGACATCCACCGCAAAGGCAGCCACTGAAGCATCTCTACGAGTGAGTCACGTTATAATCAAACACAAAAAATCATTTCAAGATGGAGAGATGGTGAAAGAAGCCTTCGTAGAAGCAGCAGACGCCTTGTTTCGGGATTACACAAACAAAACAGAAATAGTAGACACTGGTCTAGATGACGAGGAGTGGCTGTTAGATCTGGCGTTTTTAACAGACATTACACACATGTTAAATGAGCTGAACTTGGAGCTACAAGGGAAAGACAGAACTGTGGTTGACATGATCAGCTCAGTTAATGCCTTCAAACGAAGACTGCATCTGCTGTGTTCAAAGCTGCAGCGCAAAGATTTGGCCAACTTCCAAAACATCGCCTCTGAGCTGGAGAAGCAAGGGAAGGACAGTGCGCTCCTTGACAGTACGCGCTACACAGAGCAAGTCAATAACATTACATCTGACTTCGAGAAACGCTTCCCGAGACTTCGCTTTACTCGAGCCAATCGCCACATTCACGTGCTATCCGTTTAGTGAAGACCATGATATTGATTCGCTGGCCCAAAACATCGGAGCAGTGTTTCATCTGAACCCGTCTGCGCTAGAGGATGAGATGTTGTCGCTGCAGGCCGACATTCAGTTGAAGTTGCGTGCCCATGCCGGACAGCTTTGGAACTTATTCACAGTTGAAAAGCATCCAAACGTCAGAAAAGGTGCCACCTCACTGACCTCACTCTTCGGCTCGACTTATTTATGCGAGTCAGCCTTCTCCCAAATGAAGATAGTGAAGTCGAAATACCGTTCCACCTTAACTGATGAACATTTGGAGGCCTGCTTGAGACTAGCCATCAGCAGTTACGGTCATCAGAATATGGTAGGGACCCGCGTAAATATATTAAATTGTGTTTTGTTTTGCAGCATTATATCAGGGCCATGGAGAGTGGTTTCTTAGCCTGCTTGTTATGTGTATCTTAACAGAGAGAGACAGAGAGACCGAGACAGAGAGAGATGTTAACATGCCTATTGGACCTATGTACTGTATATCATTATTACTTTGAGAGACTGTTCATATGACCCATTTGAGTCTGGTGTCTAAGTTGAGTGTTCTACTCGTTTATTGTATTCCTTGTACTTATATTTGTGTTTTATGTTTAAGATTTCAGGACCATGGAGAGTGGTTTCTTAGCCTGCTTGTTAACACAGAGAGAGAGATAGATTAACATGCCTTTTTATTTTTACGTATTCAGGTATTTGTTTCTGTTCAAGAACCCAAATAGAGTTGTTGTAGTTATTCCATGTATAAATCAAATGTGTTATTCAAAAGTAGCTCACAAGCCAAAAAAGTGTGTGGGCACCCCTGCCCTAGAGTATGTTAGGTCCACTCACAAATAAAGCAGGTTCACATGGATAGGATACTAGATACGTTTGCCAGGCATTATAACCTACACATTTTTCTTGGATTGCACCATAGTCCTGACTATAAATATTTTGTTAGAAAGGCAGGAAAAGGGATTCGAATTGAGAACTATTTCCATTGTGGAGGGCCCACAGACCCCCTGTTTTGTCCCCCCCACACTTCTCAAACCAAAGTAACTTCCCCCCCCTGCACCGATCTCCATCATCGGACTGCCCTCATCTCACCCTGGCAGCACCTCCCCAAACCAGTAAACCTAGGGGAATCTCTCTCTCTCTCTCTCTCTCTCTCTCTCTCTCTCTCTCTCTCTCTCTACACACTTCCGTTAAACACACTAATCTCCCTTTAATGCTTTTACTTATGTTTTCCGATCAGACACTCCCACCTCTGATACAACAATGTTCTAACCACAGTAAGTACAGTAAGGTTCTAACCATATTGTGCATTAATTTTGTAATTTCTAAACAGTTTGTGATCTTTCATTTGGGGATAACAGTGTTAGGAATATATTGTGATGAAGTGCACACTGACCTGAGCTCCAGGGGTCTTTTTCTTCTCCTCCATGCTGCTCTCAGTGCTCCTTCTCCGGCTGTGTCTCTGAAATAATCAACACAACTACAGCTGACACAAAACAAGATAACTCAATACAAGCGACAGACACAACAAAACAAATCTACAGCAATGTCTTAGGTTCACACACGTTACCTCTCTCTCTCCTCTTCGTCCTGGTTCTTCAGTCTTTCTTCTCCTTGATAAAACACTGCCGTTAAACACACTAATCTCCCTTTAATGCCTTTACTTAGGCCTATGTTTACCGATTAGCAACGTGGTATAAAAAGCTACGAACAAAGAACGGGAGGCAACCAACACACAGTTTAACGGATGAAAGCACAGATAAATCACTCTACAAGGATAAACTAACTCTTTGTATGTGTTTTAAAAGTCTCTTAAACACATTACATTAGGTATAAAACCGGCATCAACGTCTGTTAGCAACGTGTAGCTTCTGAGGACCGGGACCATGGATGTTTAATACGAACTGGATACAGCGTCGGAGGCATCGTTCTTTCCTTCTCATTGGCTCATGAGGACAAAATGGCCGGACATTCTCGAGAGCAAAAAGTCACAGGCCGTTTCGCCGTGTCTCAATTCAGGGGCTGCACCCTTCGGAGTACGCAGCCTACGTGGTCCACGGAGGACCCAGCCAACGTAGACCGGGACACAAATCACACCATATAGACCGAGCGGCCTACGAAATGAGACGGTCTAACCCACGGAGCGCTTCGTATTTACGTCACGTGATACGCGCTGTTCGGTTGCGCTGCTCCAGCAGCTTGCTAGCAAATTAGCTTACAAGCTAACTCAGCTGATTTTTTGGAGATCACCGTCGGCGATGAAATAAAGAGGACCATTGCCAGGTAAATAAGATCAAGCTGTTCCTTTAGCCCCCAGTAATGTTACATTAGTAAGTTAACAAGTATATTATAGCTGATGTAATTTAATCATATTATTTCATATTTAAAATAAGTCTTAATTTTTCTGTACTAATACAACAATATGTGTTTTAATTGAACAAAAGCATGTTGTATAGATTGATTCTTAACACTATTAGTGTTCTAATCTTAATAGCTGTGATCATAACAGTTTATATTCTCCTTCTTCCCCTAAACCTGACCAGATGATGTCCCACTGACACCAGGTCCAGCACCGTGACCCCCCCGCTCTGCTGAAATACACAATAAAACGTTTTCTATGACCTATTTTTTGTATTAATACAATTAAAGTGTAATGACCTAGAGATATCCTATTATTCCACTGCTTATGTACACATGTTGTAAATAATGGTTAAAACCTCAGTAAAGGAAATAAACAATGTGTTTTAACAATTACTATTTTAATTTAATATTCTATTTTCATCTTATCACAAAGTAGAGGTAAGAATATATCCATCCTCTCTCTGCAGCTCCATGTCTTCTATTATTATAACTTTTATCATTGAGACAGAGGAAATCAATCATGTTATTTAACATCACCAGCAGTAAAACAAATATCAGCAAAAGTGTGTTTATGGAGTTGTTTATTCATTCATACATTCAAGGAGAGAGAGAGACACAACACAGATTCAATGGTAAACATGATGTATCTTTCTATTTATTTAGCTAACCACTATTTAGACTGTGTTTTGAATTGACTTGATTGAATGGATTTACTACATCAATATAAGTCTTTTCAGGCTGCCATGTGTTGTCCTTTCTGTGGCCAACATCTGTTCAAGTGTTCTGTGGCTCCTGTGGCAAAAATGTACAGTTTTTGGCAGAAGTTGAACACAACAGTAAGTTCACTTTTTTTTATTGTACCCGTTTCAAATGCAAGAAATAAGGATTCAACACACTACTCTTTTTAGAATACTAATTGGCAGATGCATACACTAGTTATCAGCATGAAGGACACATTTTTTCATTGTCTGTTTATGTGAAATATGTAGAAGCCATCATTAAATTGTAGATCAATGCATGATTAAATACACAAAACATGTGTATTATACATTCATAATTGTGTATTAGTTATATCTTTATAGAGAAAATTATACATTTAGAATCAGATTTTGAGACAGTGAGCGGCTGGGAAAGTCACACCGCCATGGGGCACAAACAGTTGCTGACGTGATGTTTTCTTCGCATTCTCAGGCATTCCATAAGGAGGGTCAGGAACTCACGCTTGGGACCACCAGTGTCCACTCCATCCTCAGTTTGTCCCTCATCATCAGTGAACTTAACTGACGTCTCATGAGAGGAGTCGAATGACGAGGCACCTTTGAAGCCGCGGATTGCTCCAATATATATATATATATATATATATATATATATATATATATATATATATATATATATATATATATTGCTCGCATAAAATCCTCGGTGTTTTTTTGCTTTGTATGTCGGGGGCGGGAGATTCATGTGATTGGTTGTTGGTCTCGTTGCTCGCAAAAATCCCCAAGCTTTCAGACACGCCCAGCTCCAAGATTTTCAAGATTTTTGAAAAGCTGCTGTGTGGACATACCGTTAGTCTGAAAAACAGTATGGGACATAACACCAGCAGTATGTGCTGTGTGTTTCTGTTGTCAAGGAAGTTTAATTAGAACTTGTGCTACACAAAACTTGCAGTCATTTTAATTTGTGACGTTATCACGGTATTTTTCTTTTAATTCTAGGCCCAAATTCCTGTGCAGGAACAAGGAAAACAATTATTATTCCCATAATATCTATATTTCACTCGATAATGTTTTAATATTTGGGACCCACTTGGTAAAACTGAGGGGCAGGCCTTACAGCGCCACATTCACAGCAACATTCTGGCGAACTTGCAGCACCATTCACTGCAAAAGAGAAATGGAAACAAAGAAGGATTAATGTCTAATGAGAAAATTCTGACAAAAATGCAAGACAAGCTGTCAAAATGAAATATCAAACATCAATCAATAATAAAATGGGGAAGGTCTAAGTAACAGTAGTGACACAACTGTTTTAAAAGCATTTCAAAAAGTGTGACACATCACACAATGGCCAATCACATAACCGAGTGGGACAGGGTTAAACCAAAATACAATTGTATTCTCACCACATACATTTGAGCCCCAGTGGCGAACCGTCAGGGCCCTCTAGGCCCTCTGTGAGGGCCTAAAATATTCTACAAAACAATATTTAAAAACATTAAAAAAATATATATATTTTTTAATATATTTTTTTAGTTATATTTTTCATTAGTTTTACCAAAATAACTTGATTTAATTGTATTTAAAATAACATTTCCAAATAAATAAATCCTTCGAATCTGCCTATTCAGTTTCTGTTGGAATGTGAAGGGTTAAATGAAAGAAGCTCGTCTCTGACTGAAGAGAGGAGCTGTTGGAAGTCCAGGGTTGCGTTCCGATAATCCAAAAATCAGCTCCTAAATTCTAACCCTATCTCCTATTCCTTGACCTCTGAGTGAAACGTCACGGGGTTAAGGGATAGTGGATAGGAGAATTCAAAAGGATTTAGGAGAAGAGACCGCGGTACTTTAGAGAATCCGAATGCACTTTCACTATCTGATGTGTTTATGATGCGCCAGCGGACGTCATGAATGTGCGTCTGCTGCTGTAGGGAAACTATGGAAACTACAGTTTTCTATACAGCGGACTACAACATGGATGTTTAATAAGAACGAGGGCATCTAGAGACTCTGCACCGTGCTCTGATGCTGTTGCTTTATGCTTTATGAACGTGGACAACAGAGAAACATATTCTTCATGACCAAAGTTGGAATTGAAATAAAAAAGGAAAGTGAAACTTATGCTCGTCACCCTCTCCCTCCGGTCCACATTAATACAAATGATCCCAATACGTATGATCGTATGAACTATGAAAATATCTTAAAATCAATACAAATGTATTTATTATAAACGTTAGTCTTTAACACCTATCACTGTGTATATCACCATTCAAACATCTTTTAAAAGTTGAACAAACTCCACACAGCTCAGTAAAGACTGTGAAATGTTGACTTTATTTGATCATTTCAGTAAAAACTAACGTTCATATTTCTCTTTTTGATTATAATACTGATGAACGTTCAGAACAAAGCACTTTGGCAACTTACCACATACGTTTTAAAATGCTTAATAAGCACCGTAACTTTCATGATATCATTTCTCGGTCATAATCGGTTGTTTCCGTGAACGGCCGACTGTTGAGTGACGGCAAATGCTGCGGCTGCAATGCATTGTGGGGCAGCATTTTCTCCTCTCTTTTCGGTTAGGGAGGTCCAGTGGATCCTAAGCTAAAGGAGGTTATAAAGGAAGTTTGTAACCTCCTTTCCTTTCATTTGGAGAATTGGAACGGCACTTATCATGGCTGCCAGTGACGTACTTCCGGGTCATTTCACTCCGTTAGGAAGGTTCCTAAACTAAATGGACTATTGGAATGCAACCCAGGTGGTCCAGCTATAGTAACTGCACGAGAGAGTAATGTCAAATGACAGTACAATTGACCAATCATATCTTCCCTCTAAATGGGTGGGTGTTATTATCGCGGACTTTATGACAAGTTCCGCCCGCTGTGAAACTTTTCTTGTTTCCATAACAACAACAACTTCCTGTCAACAGGAGTTATTTTGTCAACTCGCCTTCAAAATAAAAGCATGCCAAATTACACTTAAGCCATACAACTGCAACGAAAGTAGCAAACACAATGCAATATCCTTTTCAATGTCAAAGAACACAAATAGGGTTATTTACAGGTGTTGTTTTGTGTGGTAGAGGGTCGCTTTCATTGATGTGTTTTGCACCCCGGGCCGTTGTTTTGATATTCCGCTGAAGTATACGCTGTGACGTAATAACTCGAGGGAAGGGGTGGGGTTCAGAGGGCCTAGGTATAAAAGTCACGGCTCACCACTGTTGAGCCCACAGTAAAAGTGCCGACTCCAGACAAGCACAGAGTTCGCGTTTCAATCTGCAGCAACAAAGAGCAACACAAAAAACAATTATACGATGCAAAAATGTATTTCTATAAACACAAATAGTAAATACTCTACAGGTCAACAGATTATGTTTTGAGGGATGATGCCAATCTTTTTTATAGCAGAGCAACAAATAGCCAATATACATTTCTGCATCTGAAAATGTAAATGACACCATTGCTCTCTTCATTGTATATATGTATATATATATATATATATATATATATATAGGGCTGGGTACCTACCTACCGAAATAACCTGGTACCAAGTAGTATCGACTTCTCAAGTCAAAGGATACCTATCCTTATCATAATAATCACTGCTACATGGGGCACTGGGAAAGTCCGATGATGTCAGTCTGCATAACAATTAGCCATGTGCTGCATAATAATTAGCCATGTGCTTCTGGTAACTAGAGCATTAGCCTATCTTTATCACCTAGAATGACGAACACACATATACATGCCCTAAAGCTGACACACCGGACTGCTAACCATGCTAAGCCGTTAGCAAAAACAGCATTGACATTAAAAAGCATGGCCGTTTTTCCCTTGCTAACATGGTGAAACTGTTCTTGTAACTGTTTTACAGGGTAAGTGTGCTCTGAAAGGCCGAGATTCTCAGCAGTGAATGCTCCGTTGATGACATGCCTTTCATTTGACTGGTCAATAGGGGAGATTCCAAAGGAAACAGTTGCTCCACTTACTTGCACTATATCCTACCGCACTGTGCGTAGTAAGATTGTTTCAGGCTGTGTTGAGAGACCCAAACACTGGACAGCAAAGGGGAGCAGGATGGATCGATCAGCACCATCATCAAGGACTGCATGAGTTAGGAGGGTCCTGTTCCCATTGTGGAGAAGTACATTGACGATTTTCAACATGACTTTATGGGAGCGGTTAGGTTTGTCCATGTAGAGAAGCTCTGAGGAGGGGGATGTGTACATCACTGTAGCTGATTTGTTTGAATTAAAGTCATGGAGAATAGTCAAGTGAATGTCCTTGCATAAATTACATGGCCTCTTTAAGGTGCATTTGTCCATGTGGATTTCAACTGTAGCCATTTTGATATGTCAATGAAGGTATAGGTTTGGGTTGCTTGTGCAGTTAGAATGCCACGATTAATGCGGTGCTCAACAAATCCGTCTCTGTACTGCACAGGGAGTTTACTGAGGAGTCTGTCCACATGGGAACTACATCTTAATTCGCACCTATCAGGACCATCTAGGGCAGTGGTTCTCAAACTTTTTCTGTCAGGCCCCTGTTATGGAAATCTGAGACCCAACACTGTGGAGAGTACAAGTCAGAGTGATCAAAAACAAATAGTCAGGCTCAGTGGCGGCGCCAGAGATTTGTTTTGGGGGTGCTGTGGGGTAGCGTGACGTTTCATAGAGGGTGCTCAAACATTTAGGGTTTCCCATTAATGTACCGGTCGCTACAGTATTTTCAGGAATGTTCTACTGCAACAATCCACACGCATATACACAGTGTGACAGTTACAATGAAGGCTCGATAATCAGCTCACGGCATATAGGTGTAAGCAGGGGTCAAGTGCTATTTTTATAGGTGGTGTGTGGACCTCACATGGGGGGGTCCGGGGGCAAGCTCCCCCGGGAAGATTTATTTTTAAATATTGAAATTAAAAGCATCAATCTGGTGCACTTTGAGAGCAAAATGAAGAGATCTATGGATACCTCTCCCAACACCTATGAAACAGAACTGTAAACAGATTTACTTTTTCTTTATGGATATTTTACAAATCACCCTTTTAAACGTTATTCTTGTATTACTGTCATATAGTATTTCATACCTATTTTTCATTTATTCTCTTATTTTTTTATAACTATAATGATCATATAAACGTGTGCCTCGGAAATAATTGTTTACATTAATCGTGACCAAAACGTTTGAGACCCACTGAGATAACTTAGACTAAAGTTAACTATCTAAACACTGAGAGAGTCCTTTAGCTCACCGAGTCTCTCAGTCTAACAGGAGAGCTCTCCTCCACTTTGTTGTTGAAAAAAACTCCTTATATCCGTTAGCGTAGCTCGCCACACACACACACACACAGACAGAGATTTAAAGGGATAACTGATCCGCTTTTCAAATCTCCGTGCGTCCCTATCAAGCTGGTTATAATACAGGAAGGAATCCAGTGCCACCAAGTAAACAATAATCTACTTTAATGGTAATATGACAATGCAATACAATCAATACAGTACAAATTCAATACAAATTATCTTTGGGATCCCGAATTTACCTGCACGTGTGCCAGCCAGAGGAAAGAGGCTGAACACCGCG